TCTGCACGTTTGAGCATCCAGACACAGGTACAAGCAGGATCCAGCCGAAATTTCCCGAAATTCTCCGAGAATTGTAAGTGACCCCACGCTACAGCGTCCCACGCTACAGTGTCCCACGCTGTTTCTCAAGTCACATGTTCAGCGTCACTTGTATGTTGCTGTTGTTGTTGTTCAGCTCAGCACAGCCGTTTCAGCAAGCCAGAGGTGAGTTTTGTGGTGATTTCTGCATCCAGTGTGTTCCCCTGTGTTTGTGGGTGGGAGGAGGAGAGACCGCCAGATGCTCGCCCTGCCATACACTCACCCACGCTCCTCGCCACCACACTACCATACACTCACCACTGCCCACTCCCTCTGCTGTGTTTTCTGCTGTTTTTCGTGTGAATTCGTCGCCAGTGCTGTGTATCCGAGTGCCCGAGGCCACTCGAAGCTGCGTGGATCAGCATGCCACGTAGATCACGACACCACGTGGATCGACACCACGTTGGGTGTGGCCGATGTCACGTAGACCTACAAAGCCACGTGAATTACCAGATATCCCAGGCCACATGCTGTGGTCTGCTGCCCGCATCACATTGACGTCACCTCACGATGTCTGCCTGACGTCACCTCACGATGTCTGCCTGACATCACCTCGAGATGTCTGCTGATGTCACCTCGAGATGTCTGCTGACGTCACTTCACGATGTCTTCCTGACGTTACCTCATGTCTCCCTGACGTCACCTCAAGATGTCTGCTGACGTCACAGCCCTGCTGACGTCACCTCGCGACATCACGCCTGACATCACATGTCACATCGAGTGTTTCTAGTAATTATTTCAGTATTGTCAAGAAGATTGAGAGAAAATATATGTCGTGTGTTAATTAATTCCTCTCAGTCAGTGTTCTCACATTTTAGTATGTCTTAGTCAGTTTTATGAGCAGAAAAGCATCATTTGCTAGTTAAGCCATGTTGTACAGTATGTACAGCGGTGTGTTTTTAAAGTTTCCGTGTGTCCAGTGAGGTCTGAGCCAGACCTGAGTGGCACCACTGTGCTAAGTCACCCGTGTGACCAGTGTGTTTGACAGCTGATTACTCAGCCCTGAGCGTATGAGCCCTCTTGTACAGAAAGCTTTTATGCTCGTCGCTCGTGATGTTCTGCAGAATCGTACCTGCTACGATTCCCATCGAGATTTGTTTCACTTCACCTCCAGACCTTCAGAGTGCAGTTATATGTAGAGAAACAAGTCTGGGGATGCTTAGACTAACCTCTGCTATAACTCCAACTGTCGAGAGATGATACTCGTCAAGCCGCAGCCAGCCCTGTCGGCAGGCGCTGTGTCAGCCTCATGTCACAAGCTTCAGTGAGCAGCCTGGTGTATGATGTTACGACTCTCAGATGTTTCACCCAGTCGTCTCTGCCACGACTCGCTCCACAACTCGCTCCACGCTCGCCGGCAGTGACAGCCCAGCGACAGTACCAGTCAAGAAGTGTCCTCCTGAGTCGCTTGCCAGAAGTCCTGCCCAGTTGCCGAGTTTTGTCGACGCCTCACTTGAGGGCACCAGCATGTTGTGCCCCAGGTTGAGTGAAAACCTACAGCGACTCCTACGATGTCTGCTTCACCGTTCCAGAGGAGACCGTACCGTTACGTCACAGCTCAGCCGCAGCGATGTCTCCTGTGTTGCAGTATCTGTCCAGACGCAGGAAGGCGTGCAGTGATGCACTTCGATGCTCACTGCCTATGACCACGATGTTTAGCACACCCCACATGTTTTTTTCTTCCCTCCCTGTAGGGAAGTTTTTTTTCTATGTCCATATGTATATATATGTTTTTATTTTGTGTTCTGTGCCCTGTTCCTACGAGAGAGAGAGACCGAGTTTCTTTTACTACCAGTATTGTCGCGTTGGGATGACGCGCGGTAGGTGGCCAAGCGTATGTAGACAGCCTGTACTGTCTGCACAGACAGCCCATGCTGTCTGCCAGCTTAGTTCATATTTCACGCTATGCTGGTGCTGCCACCTAGGCCTTGCCACTTCAGTATGCCCAGACTTGCCTCGCCCTCACTCACACAGCGGCCTGGCATCAACACACAAGTACTCCCAGCTCTCTCTCGCGGGCATGGCCCTGCCCGGGCCATGGGCACAAACACACAAGCCTGTGTAACCCAACACTAGTTATCAATAAAGTAAGAAGCCTCCGAAGACGTATATCATTTAACCACCCGCTACCAGAATACCAAACAAGCCCGTTATATTATATTATATTATTAATTATATTTATGGGATAGGGCTAAAATCCGTATCATACACATTTTTATTTTAATCACAAGCGCTAAACCCGCAGGGCTTATATAGTGCTTAGTGACTGAAAGGCATTCAGCTTTGATCCAAGAAGTGTAGGTTAGGTTTTGCTCCTTGGATCAGGGTCTCGTCATTATCAATACCCAAAACCTGTAAACCCCACATTGTAACCCTTTTATTTATTCATTTATTTATTTATTTTAGAATTTGAACATACAGAGGTACAAAAAAATGCAGGTAAGAGCAGCATGCCAAAGCCACTTATATGCATAGCATTATGGGCTGGCTTAAAATTAACTTAAGATTAACTAAGCAATGATGAAATCAGTGATAAAACATTATTGTAAACAGATAACAATAAAGCACAAATGAGTATTACAAAGACAGGTCATATTACCTGGAGTTTACCTGGAGAGAGTTCCGGGGGTCAACGCCCCTGCGGCCCGGTCTGTGACCAGACCTCCTGGTGGATCAGAGCCTGATCAACCAGGCTGTTACTGCTGGCTGCATGCAAACCAACGTACGAGCCACAGCCCGGCTGGTCAGGAACCGACTTTAGGTGCTTGTCCAGTGCCAGCTTGAAGACTGCCAGGGGTCTGTTGGTAATCCCCCTTATGTATGCTGGGAGGCAGTTGAACAGTCTTGGGCCCCTGACACTTATTGTATGGTCTCTTAACGTGCTAGTGACACCCCTGCTTTTCATTGGGGGGATGTTGCATCATCTGCCAAGTCTTTTGCTTTCATAGTGAGTGATTTTCGTGTGCAAGTTCGGTACTAATCCCTCTAGGATTTTTCAGGTGTATAAAATCATGTATCTCTCCCGCCTGCATTCCAGGGAATACAGGTTCAGGAACCTCAAGCACTCCCAGTAATTGAGGTGTTTTATCTCCGTTATGCGTGCTGTGAAGGTTCTCTGTACATTTTCTAGGTCAGCAATTTCACCTGCCTTGAAAGGTGCTGTTAGTGTGCAGCAATATTCCAGCCTAGATAAGAGCTTAGATAAAACAAGTGACCTGAAGAGTGTCATCATGGGCTTGGCATCCCTAGTTTTGAAGGTTCTCATTATCCATCCTGTCATTTTTCTAGCAGTTGCATGCATTGCTGTACATTCAGTAGAATGGAGTATTCTGTTAGGTAGTGTATTTAAAAAATAAAGTTAGATTGGGTCTTAGGTTTAGCATTTATGTGATATAATTGTGAGAAACATTTAAGATATACAATTTATAAGGTTCAGTTATTCAGTATTTATTTGGTTTTGGGTGAGTGAGTGATCTTTGAGAAGAGACTTGAATTTATAAACAGGTAGTGTTTCTTTTATATTTACAGGTAATGAATTCCAGATTTTAGGGCCTTTTATAGAATAAACTTGAATTTGAATTTGAATCAAAACTCCTCCCTTGGAAGGATACAGTGAACATATTACATTATCATATTCACATGGAGCGCTAAACCCGTGGGGACATACAGCGAATGGGGAAATAGATCCCGTTCCTAATATCAAGAGCCCCTGACTAGCATCATAGTACCTCCTATGAGGGATCAAGTAAGTAAGTTTATTCAGGTAAACACAAATACAGTTACAGAGAATTATCATACATAGCAGCATATGTGTAGAGAACCTGGGATAACCCAAAAAAGTCAGACAGAGTGACTTATTTCCATTGGGGTCCTTTTACCTTATTATTATAATATAAAGGTTATAATATTTTCTTATTATTCTATAATGAAGATAACATCTTATTATCATACTAAAAAGACTATCTACTACACGAGGGTCATTAAGACTATCTACAATACGAGGGTCATTACTAGGAATAAGGTAAAAATTATACGTATGTTAGCTAAAAAATAGAAAATCATTCCCCTCCCTTTCTGTAGCTACATTCATCAGACACCTTTTGGCACTCTTCTTGAACTGGTTCATGCTATGACTGGCTTTGACATGTGCGGGTAGTCTGTTCCATTCCTTTATTGTTGTACAATAAAAGGTGATAAATTAGACACATGTGCAACTCTTGGGTATCTTTATTGAGGAAACGTTTCGCCACACAGTGGCTTCATCAGTCCATACAAAGGAGAATCTTGAAGAACAGGAGGAGAATGAGGTAATCAGTCCCTCAACCTTGAGTCGATGTGGTCAGTCCATCAATCTTGAATAGATTGATGGACTGACCACATCGACTCAAGGTTGAGGGACTGATTACCTCATTCTCCTCCTGTTCTTCAAGATTCTCCTTTGTATGGACTGATGAAGCCACTGTGTGGCGAAACGTTTCCTCAATAAAGATACCCAAGAGTTGCACATGTGTCTAATTTATCAACATGTCGGTTCTCTGAACCATTCATCTACAAACAATAAAAGGTGTTTGAAGCCTGGCCAATGACTGTGGGTACTACAAAGTTGTGCTCTCTCCCCCTAGTACTATGATTGCTTTGGTTCCCAACCTTGACAAAATTGACAGCAAGATATTCTGGACACTGTTTGTGAGCAATTTTATAAACATGATTTAGCTTCGGTTGTTTTACTCTGTCTTCAACATTCAGCATATCCAACTGCTGTAATTCATCACTTACCAAAGCATCAAATAACATTTAAATTTTGTTACAGTAATGAAGGTTGAGTCATTAATCATTATTTATTGACATTTAGATAAGAAAACAGTGCTAAAATAATAATTCTATAAATGAAAAAGGTTCAACACTTCAATATTAGGAAAACAAAAGGCTTCATAACTGGCGGGAGTCAAGTGAGGAGGACGCAGCGTTGAGCAGCTCACTACTATACTACAGCATACTGGCATAAACTCTCCCCACGCTCACTATAACACCTATAGATGAGTGTCCGGTTGAACATTATTGTAGCTGTTTGTGAGGGTGAAGGTATCGGTCAAGGCGGTCAACTGCCATGGAGGCTCAGGTCAGTACAATAAACTCTCAGGGCACCAGTGGAAACACTGGGTACATTTTATTACATCTGTTGTTGCCCCACTTCACTTAGCAGTAAATAATTTCCTGAGTCTATATGGGGACGATCACATGGACCCATGTGGAAATAAATCACTGATCGCCTTTTCGGGTTATTAACCCTCTTAGTTCTTGTGGGCTTAGCGTTTAATTATGATTATAATAATAATAACCCTCTTAGTGAATAACGCGAATAATACTGTCACAGCCAAAGAAGCAACACAAAACTATTCCCTTCAGTAGGGTTGCCATGATGCTGAACGGTTCTTTATCCAGGGAACTTTAGCTGCTTTCTTTGGATTAAACCTGATTACTTCTTAGTCCATAGATGCTGTGTGGCCCCAGCAAACTGAGCATCTCGATATTAATATATTGACAAAACTAACCCATCCTTAGCTACACTGCTGACGGCTATATTTAACACACGAACTACTACTGTATAAAGACGAAAATTTTTGAGGACAGCCGTGGTAGCACCGTCTTTATCAGTGTTTTAACACGAAGTTAGTTGTATTGTTTGGCAAAAATTGAAGATATAAATTAGTGCTGTCTGGCACTGTCAAGAGACTGTATAGCAATGTCTGGTAAACACTGGAACACAGTAGTGTTATCTGACAGACAATGAAAATAAGTGGTCTGGTAGAAACTGAAGACAGCACAGTGTCGCCTGGCAGACACTGAAGACAGCAGTGTCGCCTGGCAGCACTGAAGACAGCAGTGTCGCCTGGCAGACACTATGAAGACAGCAGTGTCGCCTGGCAGACACTGAAGACAGCACATTGTCGCCTGGCAGACACTGTGAAAATAGCAGTGTCGCCTGGCAGACACTGAAGACAGCAGTGTCGCCTGCCAGACAGTGAAGACAGCAGTGTCGCCTGGCAGACACTGTGAAGACAGCAGTGTCGCCTGGCAGACACTGAAGACAGCACAGTGTCGTCGCCTGGCAGACACTGAAGACAGCACAGTGTCGCCTGGCAGACACTATGAAGACAGCAGTGTCGCCTGGCAGACACTGTGAAGACAGTAGTGTCGCCTGGCAGACACTGTGAAGACAGCACAGTGTCCACTGGCAGACACTGTGAAGACAGCAGTGTCGCCTGGCAGACACTGAAGACAGCACAATGTCGGCTGGCAGACACTGTGAAGACATCACAATGTCGTCTGGCAGACACTGAAGACAGCACAATGTCGCCTGGCAGACACTGAACAGCACAATGTCGTCTGGCAGACACTGAAGACATCACAGTGGTCTGGCAGACACTGAAGACATCACAATGTCGTCTGGCAGACACTGAAGACAGCACAGTGTCGCCTGGCAGACACTGAAGACAGCACAATGTCGCCTGGCAGACACTGCAAAGACAGCACAATGTCGCCTGGCAGACACTGCGAAGACAGCACAATGTCGTCTGGCAGACACTGAAGACATCAGTGTCGCCTGGTAGACACTGAAGACATCACAATGTCGTCTGGCAGACACTGTGAAGACAGCACAATGTCGTCTGGCAGACACTGAAGACATCACAATGTCGTCTGGCAGATACTGAAGACAGCACAATGTCGCCTGACAGACACTGTGAAGACAACACAATGTCGTCTGGCAGACACTGAAGACAGCAATGTCGCCTGGCAGACATTGTGAAGACAGCACAATGTCATCTGGCAGACACTGTGAAGACATCAAAGTGTCGCTTGGCACAGTGAAGACAGCACAATGTCGTCTGGCAGACTGTGAAGACATCAGTGTCGCCTGGCAGACACTGTGAAGACAGCACAATGTCGCCTGGCAGACACTGTGAAGACAGCACAGTGTCACCTGGCAGACACTGTGAAGACAGCACAATGTCGTTTGGCAGACACTGTGAAGACATCAGTGTCGCCTGGCAGACACTGAAGACAGCACAATATCGTCTGGCAGACACTGTGAAGACATCACAGTGTCGCCTGGCACAGTGAAGACAGCACAATGTCGTCTGGCAGATACTGAAAACATCATTGTCGCCTGGCAGACACTGAAGACAGCACAATGTCGTTTGGCAGACACTGTGAAGACATCAGTGTCGCCTGGCAGACACTGTGAAGACATCACAGTGCTGTCTGGCAAACACCGTGAAGACAGCACAATGTCGCCTGGCAGACACCGTGAAGACAGCAGTGTCGCCTGGCAGACACTGAAGACAGCACAATGTCGCCTGGCAGACAGCGTGAAGACAGCAGTGTCGCCTGGCAGACACTGTGAAGACAGCACAATGTCGCCTGGCAGACACCGTGAAGACAGCAGTGTCGCTTGGCAGACACTGTGAAGACAGCACAATGTCGCCTGGCAGACACTGTGAAGACAGCACAATGTCGCCTGGCAGACACTGTGAAGACAGCACAATGTCGCCTTTCAGACACTGAAAACAGCAGTGTCGCCTGGCAGACACCGTGAAGACAGCATAGTGTCGCCTGGCAGACTGCGAAGACAGCACAGTGTCGCCTGGCAGACACTGAGACAGCACAGTGTCGCCTTTCAGACACTGAAGACAGCAGTGTCACCTGGCAGACACTGAAGCCAGCACAATGTCACCTGGCAGACACTGAAGACAGCAGTGTTCCCTGGCAGACACTGTGAAGACAGCAGTGTCGCCTGGTAGACACTGTGAAGACAGCAGTGTTCCCTGGCAGACACTGAAGACAGCAGTGTCGCCTGGTAGACACTGTGAAGACAGCAGTGTCGCCTGGCAGACACTGTGAAGACAGCAGTGTCGCCTGGCAGACACTGTGAAGACAGCAGTGTCGCCTGGCAGACACTGTGAAGACAGCAGTGTCGCGAGACACTGAAGAAGACAGCGCCTGGAGACGAAGACAGCAGTGTCGCCTGGTAGACACTGTGAAGACAGCAGTGTCGCCTGGTAGACACTGTGAAGACAGCAGTGTCGCCTGGCAGACACTGTGAAGACAGCAGTGTCGCCTGGTAGACACTGTGAAGACAGCAGTGTCGCCTGGTAGACACTGAAGACAGCAGTGTCGCCTGGTAGACACTGTGAAGACAGCAGTGTCGCCTGGTAGACACTGAAGCCAGCACAATGTCGCCTGGCAGACATGGACAAGTACCCCAGTGGAAATTAATCCCTTGGACTTATTTGTGCGGCAAACCCTTCGGAGGTTAAAAATCCGAACAAAATCTTATCTCTTATCTTACATTGTGAAGATAGTATAGTCTCGAGGAGGAAAACGTAAACATTACAACCCAAACATCTGAGTAATATAGTTTTATATTTATCTCTAAATATTTTACTATTTCCTTTTTAAAAATCATTAATTACTTATCATTATTCATCAAATTTACTGAGATTATTATATTTGATAAATTAAAGTTTTCAGTTGTTAGCCCATGTTTGACTGTAGATTTATTATTTATTAAATGCGGCGCTGATTAGTCAACAAACATGGCGGCTGTTGTGTCAGTAGGTGGCTGCCTCCTCATCACGATATTCTTGTTAATTTGGCTTTTGATGGCCGTGAGCGGCGACCGAGTGAAGCACAAGATTTATGAGGACATCCAGGGTGATATGGCGTGCTTCAAGAGGTTCAATGGAACTCACGAGATAGGGTGTACTTCCAAGTTCTCTGGGAACATTGGTGTTGTGCACGTCGTGGAGGAGGAGGAGGACTTGGATTGGGTGTATGAGAAGGGTCCTCACCACCCCTATGTCCTCGCCTTCACTCCTCGTTTCCTCACCCCTAAGGTGGTGCATGAGGCACAACAGTCTGGTAAGGTGTCTGGTATTGTAGTTATGGTTCCCGACGACTACGACCCCAGCACCAACCTTCCTGATGGCTTCTCTGGGGAGTCCCAGTGCCCCAACCAGCGACTCAGCCTCTACAATGACTCGGCAGACTCTTCATATGCTGACAGTTGCCGGAATAAGCCCTGGAATCCTAATGGCACTTCTCTTTTATATATGTCTTGGGATTTCCCAATTTTTTTAGTGGACAATCAGACATCGATACAAAATATAAAATACTATTTTAAGCACTTCAATAAACCCAGTGATGATGGTGAACCTAGGTCATGGCCACTTTGTTGCATGGAGCTGAAGTCCAACATGTTTGGTACCACCAATACAGAAGTGTGTGTGAGGCGGCGAGCCATTGCTGCATCATTATTCCAGTCAGTGAACTTCTGTGATCCACTCTATGACTATAACATCTGGGGAGTTATGAAACCCATGAATAGCTCTGAAGTAATTCCAGATAAGTCTGTGATGGTTGTTGCAACTAGAATGGATGCAGCCACCATGTTTGATAACATTTCTCCAGGTGCAAATTCTGCAGTCTCGGGATTAGTGACACTCATGGTTGCTGCTGAAGCACTCTACAAGTTTAAGGATGATATAATGAAATCAGGTAATAACAAGAATGTATTGTTTGTAATATTCCAGGGAGAAACATGGGGTTATATTGGGTCATCGCGTATGGTCTGGAACATGGAGAAAGGAGAGTTTCCAGTCAAATATCAAGATGAAAAATCAGATCAAATGTCACAGATCAACTTCACCCACATTGACTACTTCATTGAATTGGCTCAAGTTGGTCAAGGAATGATGTCTTCAGGAAGTCGCTTATTCCTCCACACAGATCCCATCTCCAATGCCAATTCTCAGGTTACAAATGAAACTGAATTTTTATTGAGTCTTCTTGAGACTTGTGCTGAAAAGTCTGGCAACTTTACATTTGAGAGAGCTAATAAAGATGACCCTCTGCCACCGGCATCATTTCAGAGCTTTTTGAAGAAGGTGAACATATCTGGTGTAGTTATTACTGATCATAAAGATGCTTTTAAGAATCATTACTATGAAAGCATATTTGATGATTACCATAATGTTAATTATATGACTGGAAATACTACTGAAGTAACTGATGAATATCACAAACACATTAGTAGAGTTGCGAGTGTGTTGGCAACAACACTCTACACACATCTTACCGGAAGCATCAAGGTCATCACTGCAAATGAAACACTGACAAATGATCTCCTACATTGTTATATGAAAAATGTCAGTTGTCGGATGTTCCGTGACTATGGCGATAGATTATCTCCTGAGTTCTTCAATGACAAGCCTGCCAAGATGTATGTCAGTGTAAAAGGAGGAGAGAGCAGCCGAACATTTCTTACTCTTTTAATTTTTGCCAGTCTTTTGGGTGAGAAAGTGGAGCTGAATGAAACCAGCTGCAAGACTGAGAGCCTCTACCAAGTTAACCAGTTGTACTATTACTCTCTCCTCAATAATGGAACGTGTATCCAGTCAACAGTAAGGAAGACTGAGGCTATGAGTCCAGCATTCTTGATAGACAACTATGATTGGCACTCTGGTGAATATTCAACATGGACAGAGAGTGGATGGCAGTTGACAAAGATTATGATCTTCTTGAAGCCTTCAGTGGCAGAGGAAGTTGGCCTAGTGTGTGGTGGAGTAGCATCACTCTTGCTTTCATTGGTGGTTGTCTACTTCATGAATTCAAGGGCAGACCTTCTCTTTGGATTGTCCATCCCTCCAGCTGCATGTTAAAAAAAATTCTAAATAGTTTTTTATCGAATATACAACACACTTTTAGAAAAAACTAGTTATTCATTGAATGTAATTTTAACAACTGCTATAAATTATTATAAACTTTTGTGCAAATTATGTCTTGCAAATAACTTTCTCTGAAAAGAAAGTAAATTAAGCCTGGTGGATTATAATGATTATTTATAATTTAATGATTCTGCAGTACCTAAGGCTTAAAGAAAACTATATAATTAGTCACTAATAAAAGTTGCCAAATTGTGCTGGAGGCAAATGATGATGCTGTCTGATTTTCAAGTGAAAAGAAACTGAGTGATCATGTCTATGGCAAATTATCTAATACAATATGGGATTCATTATAATGTTTAGCACTCCTGCAACTTGTGGCAATGCTTGTGACAAATATGCTGCAATAAAAATATTAATTGAATTATTAATGTGTCTGTTCACAAATAGCAGGGTTTTTTATGTGACTGCTATTCAAACTGCTGTTGCCAAGTTTATTGTTGCTAATTGCCTTGATTATATGTAATTATCATAATCCTTGGTGTCATCAGTGTGTTGCAGTTACAAAAATATTTTCATTTCTATAAAGTGGTGCACCGTATACAACTGACATGTATAAACTGCTGTATAGAAAGTCCCTTGTTATGCAGAGCTTTTTGGACAGCCTTAAAATGAACTTAAAATTACAAGACAGTGAGACAATTCTAGTAATTTACTGGAATTATATAGTTTGCCATTTGTATCTGCAGGAGAAGAACTCTGTTCTGTTTTGACTTGGTACTAGTGAGAACCTTTTTTTTTTTCACAGATGGCTTTTTTTTTTTTTTATTTGAGTGGAATACAATGAAGTACAGTGTCTGCACTCTGAAGGAGGAGTGTTAATGTTGCAGTTTTATAACTAGTGTAAGCGCACCTCTGGCGAGACAGTGATGGAGTGAATGATGATGAAAGTTTTTCTTTTTCAGGTCACCCTGCCTTGGTGGAGAAGGCCAATGTGTTAATAAAAATAAAAACATTTTATTAACAAAGTGTTAATGATAGTTTTATATTTTTTGAGTTATTAGAAGGAATTCGTTCAAAATAAAAAAATGTTCTTTTATAAAAGATTTACAGAACCTGAGAAAAGACATTCATCAGTGAAGTCTTCTTTGGTTCTCTGATATTCATGACCACAAAGCACTTTCTTTGTTAATCTGGTCACAGTTACTGTACTTCTTGGTACAGGTCCACATCCCTTTATCCGAAACCCTAGGGGCGAGTATTGTTTCAAATTTCAGATTTTTTCAAAGTTCAGAATGATTCTCAATGCCGCCACATGGCGGTGTGACCCAGCACTGAGATGACTGATGTTCTACACTCCACGAAAAAACTTTGGTTTTCAAAACTTTTTAAATTTTAGAATTTCGGGAAAAGGATTGTGGACTTGTACCATATTCTTTCTTTCTTGTTAAAATTACTTGCATAGACTTGGTTAAGCACCTAAATTACTGAGGGCATTTGAAGTCCCTCAAATCTGTAATCCTTGGAACGTAGGTAAGAGAAGTACATTATAATCTACACCAGGAAAATTCAAGAAGGATTAGTCCCAACTCTCCTCCAATTGTGCCCCGTGTAAGTAAAAGAGACTTGACAAATGGTGAAAAATACCCCTAATGAAAAGCAAGAGTGTAATGAGTACACTAAAGAAAAAGTAAGTATGAAGAGACCAAGTTTATGCAATGTCCTCCCTTTATATATATTACCAATAGACTCCTAGTTGTCTTCAGTAAAGAACTGGACAGGTTTGAAAGTCAGTGCTTAATCAGCCAGGTCATCCACCAGGAGACCCTGTCTGAAACATTGCTGCATTTTTCCATGTTCTCTTAATTATTAGAAAGTGCACATTTTTCTTAGCAAATGAGAAAGTATATATCAGTTGGATGTTAGAAGACAAGATAAAACAAGATCTATAAAGTAACATGGGTGAACTCTTCCCATTTAAGTGAAAGATCTTTCTTCATCCCTTCCATGTGATTTCTTTATTATTATCATTATTTCCATACAGTGTTTAAATGTCAGTCCATTTTGTTATAATTATGGCAGTTACTTTGCATTTTTGTACAGTACATTGGAGAAAGAACTAATATTGTATGCCTGGAAGTGTTATAGTACATCATAACTATCAATAATATCCATATTTTGTTTGAGTTTGTAATTGGTTTGTTACAGAATTTTAGGCATCTTAGTGAATACTGTTACATATTACCATGATTATTGTACCTTATTGAAAAGGACTAGTATAGGGTAAAATAATCCCTTATTTGTTCATATTGAGATATATAAGCAATACTATATTCAGCTGAATTGTAATAACAGTAATGCTGTATATACTGTACAGTAAACATAGTGGAATTCATTGCCTGAAGCATCAAAAGGTCCCTTATCTGCCTATTGATTTAGTTATTGTTAAAAAGCACCTCATCTCCCTAACATAATTGAAACAGCAATACGCTAAGTCAGACTAAACCAGCTTATCCAGTTCTGTCCCTGTTCTTCCAATCTTCCTTCAACTCCCATAGAAAATTAGTTACACATCTTGTCTCATTGTATTTCTATTATAATTAGATATCTTCATGTATATTCACTATCTCTATTCATTCAGCCCACATAACTGAAGATCATCGAATTAGTTTGAAATAATGAGTCGTACTTTTCAAAGTGTACCATTTGTTCATTAACTATCTTTCTTATTGTACATATGATTGTAGTTAACTGCATAAGAAATCCTACTTAATAGTCTTTTTAAATCTTAAATAACATTTAAGCATTAGGATTAGTTTGCCTGAAATGCATTCCATACTAGTGGCTTTCTTTTGTGCCTACCAGTGTTTTATTACATGTAAATTATATTATTTGTACTTCATATAGAAATAAAAATTGTATCGAATTATATTGTAGTATGCTCTTAATACAAGTAATTTATTATACCTAAAAGATACAGCTTTGCACCTAAAACCAAGTGTGCATTGTAACTAAAAGCTGTGGATTATCCTTTGCAAATTTCATAAATGCAAACCTATATTTCACAATAGTGGCATTGTTGCAACCATATGACACACACAGTAGAACTTCTTATATCTGATTTTTTACATAAAATACCTTCAAAAAAAAAGTCTTCTTAATGGACTTTTAATCAGTGATCAGGCAGCCAACGTGTATACAAATCGCATACATACCCAGATGAGTCTTGCTTGCATCTGTGCCAAGAGTACTATGTATATAATGTATTTTTTTTTTCTCCCCACCTTCCACTTACACCGAAACATCTTACAAATTTCTTTTCCACAGACAGTTTAATGGTAATTGTTCTGATAAGTTTGGTGCCATTATCTAGCATAAATTTTTCTGTTAATATATTTGAAGTGTTAAGTCCATTTTCAATGACTTAAGGAAGTTTCAAAGCACAAATGGTGTTTCTCTAATGTGCATATTAGTACATAGCCATAAACTGTTCAGAATATGAGATGCCTCTGTAATTTAGTGGTAGGTCATGATCTCACGACACAGGAGTTTTTAGTTTGAAACTTGTCTGGTACAGTGTTAGGAACAGTATAGAGTGGTACTCTGAGTTTCGAACTTTCTTCGTTCCAAAAGGCTGTTCGAGTGCCGTTATTGAATGAATTTGTTCCCATAAGGAATAATGTAAATTAGATTAGTCCATTTCAGACCCCAAAAATATACTTACAAAAGCACTTACAATAATACATTTACATATTTGGTCGAGTTGAGAGCAGTTCAAAACTCGGGGTACCACTGTATCTTAATTAGTATAAATTATAATTGTTCTGTAGGGTATTTTTAGATTAAGGAATTTTTAATAATTATTGCAAATACTGAAAGATGAGAGGAACTATAAGTACATGTTTTATACTTTGAATAAATCGTCTAGTCCCATTTTGGTTTAGATTTAACCCTTGGCTAAATGAAATAGAACCCATTGAAATAACTTAAGATCTGAAGAAGTTATTATATGGTATTTGATATTAGGGGTTGAAAATAATGTCCAGAATTACATTATCTATTTGATTTTTTTTTATTCTATTAAAGGAAACTGGTGGACAAATGGAAACTGGCCAACATTATAATGATGTTCAAAAGAGATCAAGGAAAGATTATTTAAACTTTTGGTCAGTTTAACTGATAGTGGTATTATAAAATCATTCTTCTGAGCATTACCCAACAAACTTTATCAAACTACATACTGTTATGTTCTTAGTCACCTGACCTCCATTGCTGTCAGGAGTGGGAAACTGCTTTTGTAATTAGGTATGGACACACACAAATGGAAACTGGCCACCAATCTTCTGTGATGGCTGTTAGGTTGTGTTGGCAGTACATACAACATTTACTAATTGACTGTCCTATACAGTACGTCCCATATTTACAACGAATGCATTTCTGAAAGAACCCCTTTTCCCATAGATGCCTGTCTTAATCAGAGGTGCATTCCTAAACCTTAATACTGTATATTCCATGTCAGATTTCATTTAAGTTTTACTTTTTTTATTAACACATTGAGCATTTTCCAATAAGGCACCTCTTCAAGGGGGGCTCCTTGGCGTGGTGAAGAGGCTCTTGGTCTGAGGAATTAGACCTGTCTGTCTCCTTCCTCAGACCGAACCTAATTACCCCCCAATCCCCCCTTCCCTCTCCCATCCTCCCCCTTTTCCTTTCCTCCTCCTCCTCCCCACCCCTCCCTTTTGCCCTTCCTTTTTGGCCTTTGGGATTTTTTCCCACAGGCATGCTAGTTCCTAGGTAGGGGAAAGGGTACCGGGGTCCATCCCATTCTGTTGAGGTTCTTGGCGGTGGCGTAGTTTGCCGTGGAATCTGGATTGCCTGGGGATGTCCCGATCCCTCTCTGGTATCCCGGAGGGTGGCTTTGGGTGTCTTTCGGGCGATGGGTGTATCTCTGGAAGCCACCTTTCGGATTCCGGGGGTGGTGGCCGAAGGAGGTATGCTTTGTGGCTGATATCCGGCCGCCCTCTCTTGTCCACCGAGGTAGCTCGGCAGATGTGAGGTTGCTCTCCCGGATTGTTGGTTTACTGGCATGATGGGTAGGGTATGGCACGGGTTCCATGCTGCATCTGCGCTACTTGTGGTGCTGAGGTCCTCTTGGGCGCGGAGGGAGATTTCTGGCCCTTTCATTCCTCCTAGGAACTATCCCTCCCCTGTCCCCCCATTTTTTTTATTCTTTTTTTTTATTTTTATTTTCTTTCTTTTTTTTTCTTAAAAAGAAAGAAGTAACCTAACCATGGAAGCCCTAGTCCATGGACCTGCTACCCCCGGGCCCCTTCTTGATACCACACCCCGTTCTGACCCTGCCTCGTCTTTAGACCACTCTTCGGACACTCCTAATGCCTCTGTACCTCTCGCCGGTGCTGTTTCCTCACCCGCTTCAGGTACTGAGGTCTTGACTGACTCCTTCGATTTATCTGACCTCTCTCCTTTGACTATGCTTCCGGCCTCTCCCTCTACGGTGCAGCAATTTTCGAATCGCCGGCATGTTCCACGTCGGACCAACTCTGGTCTCACGCCTAAACGCCAATGACAATTACCTGCTGATGATACTTCTCCACTTCTTCTCAGAAAAGATCGACACGTCCTGCACTCCCTTTCCACGTTCAGTTTCAGAATGCACAATGGACTAAATTCTTCACTTTACGACCGACTTCCTCTATTGCCTATCTTTCCGACCATAGTATTGGCAAGGCACTCCTATGCCATGTTGTAAAGATATTTCTTTTCATGCTCTTAAGACCGGTACGTGCATCATCACTGTACAGAATGCTACCCAAGCTCATGATCTTTCTCTTCTTTTCCATATCGATACTGTTCCTGTCACTATTGAAAAACGTCATTCCCTCAATTCTTGTAGTGGTACCATCATTCTGCCCCATACCATAGTTCAACAAAATTTCCAGACATGTGGCAATGACATTCTTGAACAGCTGGAACTCTAAGATCTCCCAATCCTCAAGGTAGACACTTATGTTCTTCCTGCCTGCGGGTGGAGACGATACCCTAGCAATGTGGCTCGTTTAACTTTTGACAGCCATGAACTCCCATCCTCAGTTTATGTAGCAGGACATCGGTTACAAGTTCGAAAGGTGATCCCTACACCGCAACAGTGTAGAAATTGCTGGCGATTTGGCCATCCAGCCATTGCAGATTTATAGCCGAATGCCCAGTCTGTGGTGCCGATGACCATTCTAATACGTCTTGCAATCGACCTCCCTCTTGCCTTGATTGTCATGAAGCTCACCCTTGGTACTCTTGCCGTTGCCAAGTCTTCTTAAATGAGCGGGAAATCCGTTACCTCAAAGAGGCAGAAGGTCTCCCTTATGCCATGGCAGTTTCTCATCTCCACCTCCAAGGGAGACTACCTCGTGTTTCTTATTCCTGTGTTTCAAAACGTCCCCCCACTTCTGGGGTCTCATCTTCTGCAGCCTCCTCTGTGGTTACCTTTCTCATAGTCACTCCTGTATCTAATTCTTTTGCTGTCCTGGGCTCAGACGTCCCTACTTCAACGCCTCAGTCTGTTCTTGCTTCATCGTGTTCTCCCTCACAAGCCTCGGTATCGACGAGATCTCATACGACACCTCCTCCCAATCGTCCCTCTACTTCTCAGAAGTCAAAAAAAGGTCCTTTAACCCCTCCTTCCCTTCTTCCACCTCATTTTACCTTCCCTGTCTCTGTACCTGGTTCTTCCCCTCTCACTGGCTCTGTTACAAGTGTAGAGGTTCACCCTCCTCCTCGTACTGTACCTTCCTTTTCTGTTCCCTCCCAAGTTTATTCCCCTTCTGCCACCTCCCAGGTTTCTGCCTCTTCTGTCCCCTTCCACGCTTTTCCAGTTCCCTCCACCCTTTCGTCCCCCGCTACCTTGGCACAATCCATTACAGTTCCAATCTTTACTCATCCTCCCCCTACCATCTCCAATATTGTCTCCCATACGACGTCTCTGAATTCCAAAACACTTGAAGCAATCTCTGAATATATTGCAGAGACCAAACCATCAATGGACACTGATCCACCCTCTGTTCCTTCTCTCTCCTCTCCTCCATCTGCGCAACTCCTTTCTTCGCAGCGCACCGTTCCTTCGCTGCTTTAACGTTTTCTGCTGCCTCCGCATGTAGACTTTTCTAACCCCTTTAGTCCGTAGGAACCCTTACCTGCGGATTTCAGGTATCTTTATCGTTGCCAATCATGGCCTATTTACAGTGGAATATACGTGGCCTCGGGTAATCGGAGTGAGCTTCAGATGTTACTCTCCCAGTTTTCCCCTGTTGGTGTTTGCTTACAGGAACCAAAATTACACTCTGCTGTTATCTATCCCATCTCAGGCTATAATTTATTGTATTCTTCAGATCCTTTTCCTGATGGGACCTTTAATGAAAGTGCCCTTCTACGCACTGATATTCCGTACCATCAGCTATTTGTTCGTACTTCGCTGCATTACACAGCAGCCCGTATCCACTTGCATAGGTGGTATACGCTCTGTTCTTTATATCTCTCTCCTTCTCGGGCATTATCTATTCCGGATATTGCCTTTCTTGTTTCGTCATTACCGCCACCGCTTCTGTTACTTGGCAATTTTAATGCCCATCATTTCCTCTGGGAGGGTCTCACTGTGATTCCCATGGCATTCAGTTAGAGGCTTTTCTTGCTACCCACCCCCTCCATGTTTTAAATACAGGTACTCACACCCATTTTGATCCTTGGACTCTCACTCTCTCTTGCATCGATCTCTCAGTCTGCTCTTCCTCCGCCGCATTAGACTTCACCTGGTCTGTTCTTCGGGATTTAGATGACAGCGATCATTTCCTAATCATTCTTACTTCCCCTTCATATTGACCACCTCTTCGTATCCCACGCTGGCAATTTGATCAGGCAAATTGGAACCTTTACTCACAACTAACTGTTTTTAGTGAGGTTCCTTCTTCGTCCTCTGTTGATGAGCTTTTACACCTCTTCTCGTCCTCCGTTTTAACCGCAGCTTCTCATTCTGTACCCCAAACTTCGGGCAGGCATTCTCAGAAATGCGTGCCTTGGTGGTCTCCTGCTTGTGCTCGTGCAGTACGTTTGAAACGCGCTGCGTGGGGCAGGTACTGGTACAATAGAACCACGGAGAGACTTCTTGATTTTAAGCAGAATCATGCAATCGCTCGCTGTATCCGTGATGCTAAACGCACTTGCTGGCGAGATTATGTCTCCACCATCACCTCTGCTTCCTCTGAGTGCAGTCTGGAAAAAAGTACGAAAACTGAGTGGTAAATATTCTCCTGACCCGGCTCCTGTTCTGCGGGTTGCCGGTGTTGATATAGCAAACCCACTAGATGTTGCCAATGAAATTGGCAATCATCTGGCCCCTCGTTTCTTTCCTCAAAGTCTGCCAGAGAGTTAGCACCCTTGGACTTTTCTTCTCTCAGAGAAGAACAGTATAATGTGCCTTTTACACTTCAAGAACTGGAGGCAACACTCTCAGCTTGCCGATCATCGGCAACTGGGCCCGACGACATTCATATTCGTATGCTACAACATTTACATCAGTCAGCCTTGCAGTCCTATTACGCCTTTTCAATCTTATTTGGTCACAAGGAGTTCTTCCACAGCCGTGGAAATCTGCCATTGTTCTCCCTTTCCGCAAACTGGGCACTACGGGACATGACACCTCCCACTATTGTCCCATTGCTCTTTATTTATTTATTTATTTATTTATTTATTTATTTATTTGAACGTGATACAGTGAAGTACAAAAAAATATAGTTAAATGCAGCATGCCAAAGCCACTGAATGCATAGCATTACGGGCAGGCTTAAAATTAACTTAAGATTAACTAAGCAATGATATATTCAGTGTTACAAAAATTATTGTAAAGCAGATAATTTAGTACAAAT